TTTCAAATGACCCTCCTGACCCTGTTCAAAAACTTCTGAGAAAAATAAGAATCTCAAGTTTATATGGAGCAATCAGCAAGCTAAAGGAGCTATAAATGAAGGCTCTGCCTGAGTTCATGTACACGTCCCCACGTTTACCATTATGGTCACGTCTTATGCAACTGCTCCAGATCTCGCTCTGGTCACACTGTAGAACCTAAAAGCTTCCCGAATGCATACTGAAACCTCAGTGTTTAATGGCAGAATAAGCAATGGTCTCCCTGCCACAAAGAAATTGCATACCAAAAAGTGTGCTTTCTATTTAAAAGCTAAATGGCAAATTTGCTCTGGAATCACTCTTGACTAATTCAGATGGCAAATCCAAGAGAATGGGATGATGGAGGCTGTACTACGCCATCAATCACTAGGTGAGCTGTGAAGTAACAGTAAATAAACTAATTTTTGAGAGAGTAATCTGACTGGCAGACTAAATAAACAAAGAATGAGATGAAGAATAGAACTTGTGGTGCAGGGGCTTTCTGGAAGCAATGGGACAAATATGATGGAGGGGAATATTAAGAAACAGGTGTTTGGGAGTCTGAAAGATGCAAAACACCACATGAAAGTCAGTTGGAAGAAAAGTCCTAGATAGATGGATCTGTCTAATCATAGAGATAAATAGGATTTCTTTTGGTGGGGTATTTCATTGTTGAATGTTCCGTTCAATACCACTCTGGACATTGTAGAGGCCTGTGCTATTGTATGACTGTGGAAGTAGTTATAAAGTCACATTTGGATCTGAGATAAAACTTCTGATTTCACCAGGTACATTTATCCTGATTTTTTTCCTAATTTGCAAGATTGTTGTGGATACACACCAAGATCTGGGAAATGGCAGCTGTCAAAGGCATAGTAGCCTGAGGTCTCACCTTAACCAGTGGAATTTATTCCTCGGCAGCTGTCCAAGCAGTCTTCCTTAAGGCAGCTGCAGGCAGGCATGTGCTTTCAGTGCTCTTCCATCAACTGCATTCTTGTGATAAGCTAAGACAAAGCCTGTTTGTGCTCTTCTGTCAAGTAAGTCATGTGGATTTGTTCTCTCCTAAGGGTAAATCCATGCCACTTCCATTGGCCTCAAGCAGAGTCATGGATAAGTCAGATGAAAATGCATTGAAATACAAGAATGGCTATAATATTTAAATTGCTGGACATGAGCCGACAATGTGCACCCACAGCCCAGAAGGGCAACCGTATCCTGGGCTGCATCAAAAGAAGCGTGGCCAGCAGGTCAAGGGAGGTGATTCTGCCCCTCTACTCTGCTCTGGTGAGACCCCACCTGCAGTGCTGTGTCCAGCTCTGGAGCCCTCAGCACAGGAAAGACATGGACCTGTTGGAGCGGGTCCAGAGGAGGGCCGTGAGATGATCAGAGAGATGGAACACCTCTTCTGTAAGGAAAGGTTGAGGGAGTTGGATTATTCAGCTTGGAGAAGGCTCTGGGGAGACCTTATTGTGGCCTTTCAGTACTTAAAGGGGGCTTATAAGAAAGATGGGGACAGAATTTTTAGCAGGGCCTGTTGCAACAGGACAAGGGGGAATGGTTTTAAACTGAAAAAGGGTAGATTCAGGCTAGATATAAGGAAGAAATTTTTTACGATGAGGGTGGTGAGACACTGGAACAGGTTGCCCAGAGAGGTGGTAGGTGCCCCATCCCTGGAAACATTCAAGGTCGGGTTGGATGGGGCTTTGAGCAACCTGATCTAGTTGAAGATGTCCCTGCTCCTTGCAGGGGGTTTGGACTAGATGACCTTTAAAGGTCCCTTCCAACCCAAACTATTCTATGATTCTATGATTCTATGATTTAGAAAATAACCACTTTTGGTGACTATCACCATTTTAGCTGGTCTTTGCTTGTAGCAGAATCCCACCAAGGAACAGTATACTTACAATATTTTTAATATAAGTGTTGGAATGGGAATTGGACTGCCTTTTAGCTGTTTTGTCTGATGTACAGATACTGTATTATCCATAAATATTGCAAGTGGATTCTGTTCGCAACTGGGACTTGAATCCAGATTTGCCGAGCTGTCGCAGCTACAAGACCATGCTTAATGCTCACTCTTGCTACCGCATATCTAAGGAAGTGAGAGTATATGAATCCTGAAGTAATAGAGTTAGAAGGTTCACATTGCTTTTGCAACTGTCTGTGTAGCTCTAAGGTCTAGACAGGGTCACAATGTGCCACTGAAACCTGTAAGGAGATAACTGTAACCAAGGTCAAAGGGGTTCTTGCAAAGGTTTCCTGGGTTGTGTGAATTATGGGGGTGGAGAAGCATACAAGCTGACATTAGGAAAAGGAACCTTGCTGGTGATCAAGCCAGGTGGGTAGTAAATGTTGAAACATTCAGGAGAAAACTTGGACTGAAAGGCAGTGGCCCTAAATACATGGCACAGCAAACAGGATTTTTAGGTGATGTTACAGATGGAAAAACACAGATTGTTCCTGGTATTGCCCTGAAAGGTGTAATACACAATTGTAACAAGTGAATGAATGAACATTTTTTTATTTGATCTCCCTGTTTCTGATCCTCATAATTTTCTAGTAGATTTCCTTGGTACTTCGATGGTGACTTAAATCAATGTTTCGTCATTCCTCCCTTAATTTATTCCCTGCTCTGGAATGTCTGTTGACCTGGTTGTCAGTATGGGTTGGGAAAACCTGTCTACATTTTTGTAGAGGTTGACACCAGTGTGCCAATCAGGGATATGTGAAACTCATCTTTGGAACTGGGACCCAACTTCTTGTTACCCCAAGTAAGTTTGAACTTTCTGTTCCATATTAACACCAGTATTGGCAAATCATTTGTTCACTGGGTAGGTGGACTAGGGACTTTAATGGAAGCATGTTCCAACTTCTTTTCGGCTTCCCTTCACAAAAACCCGTTGGAATAGAGATGCTGTCCTGGAATCCAAAGAGTGCTTGGCTATGGTGTGTCAGTGATCCACTGCAGGAAAGAACAGCTAGAGAAGATGGTAATGTTCACACAGGTTTAATAGTCACGGCATGGTGCAGTCAGACATAGAGTGCTGCAAGCAGTTCACACATGGCTGAATGCTACATAAAAAGATTAGCACTTTTATAGAGTTTCTGGCTATTAAAGTTTTCAGACTTGATTTTTGCACCTTTAAAATAATATCTGGAGGTTATTCTGACTAATGGCTTAGAGATTGGATCTCTTTCTAACTCTCAGCCTAAGAGAATAAGTCATGATTTTTTGGTTTTAAAATCCAACCCAAAACTTCCATATTTGTAAAAACTGATGTTACAGTGTGAGCAGTCAGGAACTAGAAAAATTGTATTTGGAAGGGGAACCAAACTTGTTGTGATGCATGGTAGCTCTCTTTCCTTTCCTCAGTTGTGTTTTAAAATGCTTTAGAAACCTGAAAAGATGGAATGAAATTTCAAATATCTTTGCGTGTCATTCTCTGGTAGACAGTTTCCCCACGTATTTTGGATGAGGAGCCATTGGCATATGCAGCTGGTGGGCAGGAATTTATTGTAAAGGCTTCTTGTTGAGTTGGGAAGCTGAAAGATACAGTAAATTCGTGTTTGGAAGAGAGATTACATTTAAAGTCAGCCCAGGTAGGTAAGATTTGGAGGACAGGCTATGAAGGTATGAAGGCGGGAGCAGTGTCCACTGGTTAGTGTTTCTGAATAGGTCTACCTTTATGGAGAATGAACATAAGCTCTAGATGAAGAGTGGAGGGAGGAGTGAAGGCTGAAAGAAAATGAACCCAGGATTATTTCTCAACAGGGTGCTTGTGAAGATGGAGCAGGGAGAGAGACTGGGAAGAGTGGGAAATGAGACATCATCATCAATGTCTTAGGTTAATGATGTTGGCATATCATTAACATTAACTTCTGAGTCCTGTCAGACAGTAATAGTGTTTTGCCTTAGATTGAGGGGAAAAAAAATTCAGAGATACCTCTGGGTTCATGTTTAAGTCTTAGTTTCACACTGCATTGTGAGAAATTTCCCAGGTGACTTAGACTATAGTATTTGCAATGATTCAAACTGGGGTGCGTGGGATACTGGAGCTAGGAGAGTAATTTCTGGAAATGGCACGAGGCTATGATACCAAATAAGTTATCTAATTAAATGTACCCATTAAATAGACTGATCAGGAAAGGGTACCATTTTGAGGCAATTCCACAAGTGTAAGATCAAAAGTTCTTCCGACTTTTTGATACCAACATAAAAATGATCTTCCACCTGTTTTTAGAAAGGGATTTTAGGTTCATTCTTTTGAATGTTTTTTTATCTTACTCATTAAACAAATACAATTTTTTTTGGCTGGCGCTACATGAATAGTTAATGTCTAATTCAGAAAGTTTCTGTTTTTTGAGTTGAAATTATTTGAATTGAGGGTTGGACTAGATGACCTTTAAAGGTCCCTTCCAACCCAAACCATTCTATGATTCTACGAATTTTTTTCTAGAAACTAAATCTCTAGTATATAAAATTGAAAACTTGTTCTGGCAATTAAAACCCACTCTGATTTTGGAAGAAAAAGCATGAAAAAGTATTTTGTGAAAATGACAGAGGTTCTCAGGAGGTTCATGAGCAGCCACTTCTTTTTGTTTCCAGACAATTGTTACACAGATGGGTTAAGCCATCTCATTCATCTGTGGGCTTTAAAGAGTGGATTAGATGAGCAGAGTTGCTCCTTCTGACTCCCAAAAATCTTTCCTTAACATTGTTGAAAGGAGAAGCAGAGGAGATCATAGTAAATCTCCCCTGCAGTTTAGGTGATGCATGAATAAATCTATACATGAACACAAATAGGGTATTGCTTCGCAATATGAAATTTAAGAAAACTTCATCTCAACTTTTCGTTAATGTGAACACATGCTATAAGCCCAGGATTTACCCTGTTTTGGTACTAGAGAACTATTTAGTCCATTGAACACTTGATTTCTCCTCACATATTGGGTATTTTCCTCTATTAATTCAGCTTTCGTTTTGGTTCAGCTAGAAATCTTCCCCTTTAAAGGTTTGTGAGAAAGATCTTGGATGGTTTTGGTAGTTTGACTTCCCCAAGTGTAATTACAGAGGCAATGACAAACAGATTTTTGGGATGGAGGCCAGAATTATCGCCTGAACTCTGTAAGTGAAGCAGCGTATTTGCATTTGCAAATACTGAATCTCTGCACAGAGTCTTTGCACTTTGGATGACTTGGCTGATGCTGGACTAGGACCTGGCTTCATTTATCTGATTGCCTCCAGACACGAGCACCGGAAGTCTAGAGAAGGGTTCAGGTACTAAATGTGGACATCTAGTCTTGCTGTAGACATCCTAGCACCCATGCAGGGCTGGCAGATTTCACAAAGGACCTCTGGTAGACCTTTTGGAACCTCCATTGGAGGACAGCCAGCAAACATCACTAAAGTGCTTGTTAAGTCACTGGAGTTGCTCCTGTGGGGTCAAGATTAGCCTGTATGAGTGTGTGAGGGGGTATATATTTCCTCTGAGTTGGGCGATAGCTCCAGGTTGACTCTAGCTGTGGAATATCATGTCTCAGGTTGAGGAATGGTAAGAGGATCAAAGACCTCTATCACACCAATTCCGGTCTGACCAGAGATTCAGAGAGTTTCCTTTGGAGGGAATGGAGAATGAGATAAATCTCTGTACAATGCAAGCTGTTAAACCAGTGTGTTAAACCAGTTCAGGATTTATACTGCGGCTTGTTTGGAAAAAAAGGCATGGGTCTCAGTCTGATGCTAGAACAGGCTTCTACTGCTCTCTCCCTGAAATCAGCCTCTGGAGTTGGCTTTCTCTGTAGACTGGTCAGGAATAGCATTCCAACAGCTCCTGTTCTTCCACCTGGAAGATATCCTTCAGTAAAGATGAAATTAGGCAGGGTGGACAGCTCAGAGTTTCATGATTTACTTCTCAATCTTTCCTGCAAATGCAGGTCATAAATATCAATACAACATCTCCAACACATCCACCAACTCATTAAGACAGAATAACAGGAAACATGAGTCACAGTGCTGTGGTTATAATAGCGATATTTACCAAGACTGCTAACTGCAAACTTTCATAACAGTATGCAAATACGCAAAGGAACTTATCAGAAAAAGGCTTTAGTACCAGAACAAAGCCAGCAGCCACTCTAAGCAAGAATGAGAAATGAGTATTTTGCAAAACTGGTGCCGCTAAAGGTGCCTGCGAAAAACAGACCTTATTGTTTCATCTGCTCAAGATAAAAGCATTGCACAGATTGAAAGGGAGAAAAACACCCTAATTTGGAGAGAGGTGGATATGTAGCTCTTCAGAAAGCATAGTACTCATTATAAGAGAGAAGCAGAACAGCTCAATCTTCTCTTTCGTATCCATGTACTCCATGACAGTGATGTACCCTGGTTCATCTGTATTTTATACAGGGATCTACCATCAAGCTTTTTATCTGCTCCTGTCTTCCTCTCCCTAACAAACGATCACTGAAATATATTTCCAAAACAATAACTGGGAGTATGGGATGTGGAGAGTGGGGTTGAGGGAGTCAGAACATACATTAGACCGTGTTCTGTGTAGTTGGGAAAGAGACAGTCTCATCAGGTATTTCAAAGCCAGGGCAAAGCTGGGATAGATGAACTGCAATTCAGGAGAAGGGCCAGAGAATGAATCATTAGGTTTTGTGGATTAGGTTTTTTCTGAGATCATACTAATAAGGAAGTACGGCTATTTCTCTAAGGTGCTGACAACTGGCAACTGAACAGATGAAAAGCATTTATCTCAGTGATAGAACTAGGGTTTGCACTTGCGTGAGATTTTGAGACAGTTTCTAAAAGCCAAGATTTAGTCCAAACTTCCCCCATGGGAAGAAATAAAAACTTCTTCATCTGGGAGCTAAGCTGTCTTTAGTATTTCTACAATATTTATCAGTGTGATGTGTGAACAGGGACGAAGCAAATATTAATCTAAACTCTCAACCCTACCCGATAACACTTTGTCAGTTTATAAATGTGACCTGAAGCTCCGGTTCAAACCTGTGAAGTCCAATGGAAAATGCAGCCAGAGGGTTGCTGAGAGCCCCAAATCTGCATCTTGGCTACAGTATGTCTTTAATGATATTTCATCTGTTCATCATTTAGAGTACTGCAATGTCCATAACATTTTATTATTACGCATGAACAAAGATTTAGGAAAGCACCTTCTCAAAGAATCTGACTTCAAGAGCTGGACAAGATTAAATGTATGCTTAGAGTACAAGTTTACAAAGCTAAATGTGCAAAAATGAGTTTAACCACAGGTAGTGTTTTGATATGTGTGGAAAATCCTAGCCTAACTGACTTGCTAGCAGATTTTGAAGCAAGAAAACAGAAATAAACCCCAGGTGTCTTATATCTGCAGCCTTTAGTTCTCCAAACCCCTCTTTTGCAGGGTAAAATTTAGTAAAAAAATCTTACACTGCACTGTCAGGTGGTGGAACATAATGAAACATTCATTTGCTTCATCTTTCTTTACCTAAATGCAACCATGTGTTCCTACTTTGCAGTGGCTTTCCTAGCTTTCTCCTATAGGAACACAATTCGCTAGACTGGTGGTAAATGTGGACACCCTTAAGACTTGGTAGTTTATCCACTGTCCCTCAGGACAGGTGAGGAAGTGGGATTTTGAATGTCAGTGGTGGATTTGACTACACATTTGCAGAAAAGGCAGAATGCCCCTGGGCTGCTCAGTTCTCCCAGGACACATTACATCTCAATGCAGTAGAAGTGCAGTGAAGCAAGAAGAGAGTGCTCCCTCCCCCTGTTAAACACATTCCTGAATGCATTCAGGCCAAGATCCAAGAGAAAGCCCAGGCTGCAGAGTTGAATGAGTTGTTACAGAGAGGAATGACTAGGTTAGATATGGACATCTAGGGTGTGGATGCCCACATGAGTATCATTTGAGATGCTCTAGGGATCTTGCCTGACCACTCTGTGTCTCCCACACAAGATAAGTCAACGTAAGTCTCATGTAGCTCCTGCATCATCTGCTGCGGATGCCTTGGTTGTCTAAAGGTGTCCTAGCACATGATCCCTATGATCAGGCAACTTCCCACTGGAATCCTGGAAAAACTTCCACACCTGAGTGTCTGTATATTAAGATTGAAGGAACTATGACTGTGTACTCTCACCTAATGTCTTTTCTCTTCTCCATTTTCAGATGTTACTCCATCTCCTTCAGTCTACAGGCTGATCTCTGAAGATGATGAGGATTTGGAAATGTGCCTTATCACAGATTACTCCCCTGAAAAGCTTACTCTTAACTGGGCTGATAAGCAAACAAATGCTGTTGTGGAGGTGGCAACATCTGAGAACAAACATGAAGCGAGCTACCTGTCAACCTACTGGGCCAAGAAAGATGAAATGCAGTGTGCTGCAAATCACGAGGGCTTTGGAGAACTGGAGGGCGAGGATCCTGAAAGTGGTAATGGCACTGTTGGATGTGTGTGCAGGGCTAGAGGTACTCTGGTCTCTGTGCTATTAGTATGAGCAGGACTTGTTCACATCTCCCAACCCTGCAAGCAATGCTGGATTATGCTTCCACATTCCAGAGGAATGTTGCCTTGTTGCCTCTGTTTTCTTTTGCCTTCCTCCTTGGTGGAAACAAGATTAAGGGTCAGTAGACTGGTACAGTCACCGCAGAGGGATCTTAAAATCACACTGTGGGGGATATAAACCTTGAAATTCTTTTTTTCAATGGGACACTAAAGTTTAATTAGATCATATTTTATGCTTGCCCTGAAAACTGCAGAAATGAGAGCCAGAAACTCTAATCCATCTCTTCTAAGTAGAGGTATCTTTATGAACTTCTGAAGAAGTATATTTCTGTTATTAATTAAATTTATTGTTACTATCTGCAGGTGCCAGCACTGTCTGTGTTACAGGGGTGTCTCTATATTTCAGGACAGGTATGTACACAGCATTTTAGGAGTAAAGCTTGGCCTGATTAAAGGAAATGTCTTCCCAAGTTTTTGATAATGTTCCCTCTTTGCAGAATTCCTGTTGGAGCACAAAGTTCAGACTGGAAATTTCCAAAAGGGCCCCACAGGCTTTAAACATTAGGGCTGGAAGTCACTGGTTAATGTAGTCTTCCAGATCTAAGCTGGTAATTTTATGTGACTAGTGTAGCTAGCACCTACATGCTCTTGCTAGGACTAGCCAAACAACTTCTCCCCATCACACAATAATTTTAGGTACTGATATGAGTCAGCCTTACTGGATGTCTGTCCGCATTGCAGACTTCAAAAGAGTTGTTTTTATTTTTGGCTGCACAAGCATCCAATGAACCGAAAGATAAGCCGGTGGTTTCTGCAGTGCATGCTCAAAAGCAGGATTGCACTAAAGATACGGTGCATCTGAGCAAGCTTTGCTTCAGCTTATGGCTGTGGGAGTATACCAGTCAGTGCGGGAGCCCAAGCAATTGCTGTTCCTGCTAGTTAAAGGAGCTGAGCTTGCCTCTGCACTGTTTGCAGAACAGCTGTACTTTTGCAAACGTGCAGCCTTGCTGAAAAGAAACCAGGTAGCCAAATGTTTCCAAAACATCTCTTCAGAAAAACACTCATCAGTAAACTTGGCTGATTTGATCAGTCATTTCAGAGAGAGGTTTTCAAAGATAAACATAAAATGACTCTTTGATCACAGCTCCCTGCTTCCCCAATATAGACCAATGTATTTTCAAATGAAAATGGCTCTGTAACTTAAGATTAATAGGAAATCCAAATAGACTTTGTGTTCTTTAAATAAAATTTAACTTGTTTTCCTCTTGCCCGTCTTAAAAAAATTTAGGGAGAGGAAGGAGGGACACCTCCAGCATCCTGGATTCATAATACCCAGTATTTAAAACCAGCTAGATGGTTGGCAGACTTGCATATTGGATAATTAAGTGGTTATTGAATGAAAACCTGGCCCTTGAAACACCAACTGAAAGAAATTAAAGTCTCTCAGTGAAACAGTCCCGCTCACTGTCTCGTTAGCTGTCCTACTAGGTGACTCAATCACACAAAGTGGAACAGCTTCATTAAGAAATGCTTTTAAGTCTGTCTGGAAGTGAGGATGTCCCGGTGCTCTTGTGACTTTCATTCTCTGTTACTTTTACAGATGAAAACCTGAACATGCTGTCTTTATCACAGCTGGGCCTGAAAATAATTTTAATGAAAGGAATAATTTTTAATGTGCTGATGACGATGTTTATGTGGAAAAAAAAGTGAGTATGGGGTGTGGTAAGGTCTCTGACAGAAAACATCTGGATCTGTTCATTAGTTACAAATGCTCCTTCTCTCTGTAATAACTGTTTATGCAGCCTATCCATACACCTTTTGTTTACCAACAGTAAAATCCCTCCACTCCTTTGGCCGTATCATTGTTTTTACCCACCCCCCAAGTCTATTTACTTTTCCTTATCCACATGCAAATTTAACTTTTTGCTTCTTTCTAGACATCTCTCCCTTCTATTTCTACATCCATCCCTTCCCTTCAGGTCTACAACTGTGTAGCTGCGACTGTATCCCAAATAATGACTTAGCATACCTTTCTTTTTTTACAGGAATGAAAGTAACCAGACGATGCAGTCCTGAAGTACCAAAAAAACCTGCTGAGGAATCTTTACCAGAGCAGCGTGTGCAAGAGGGAACACGGGCATTCTTGTTGCCAGGGATATCACTTGCTGTTTCTATATATCACGCCAGCCATTATAGTCTAAATTGCTTTATTTGCATTGTTATAAAGCTACTCAAAAATAAGCTTAAAATTTTCAGCATGCTGCTCCCCCAGATGCCTGATTCATTTAGCATGACAATGCCTCTTTTTGCATGAAGCATAGTTTGCTATAACTATAAATTGCCAAACATCACTATTTCTTGCATTAAAATGACACACAATTTCTGCTTGGGGCAGTGTTGTTTGTTGAAAACTGCAAGCTAAATATCACTTGAATGTGAATTTTTCATATTTTGATAGCTTTCAGGTATGCACGTTTTAGAGTGCACCCCCACAGACACCATCTCAGTTGCAAATGAAACACTCCAAAAAGCAAAGGGAGACTTATTCAGGGTGCTATGCACCATGTCCTGCTATCTTTTGCTATATCAGAGCAAGGTATGGGTTTTTTTTTCCCTAAAACATTTGCTGCTAGGTCTTCCAGAAGTCCTGAATTCAGAGAAATTCTCACTTCATTATCACAGAACAAAAGAATGGTTTTTAGTATCTTTTAATGTCTATCTGGCCTTTACATTTTCTGAATCTAAATGAGCTTAAGATTTGGCTTTGTGTTTAGTAAAAATACAAACTACTTTTGTCCTTTTTGTTTAGTTCTAGCAACCTTAGATTTTCCCATTTCTTTTTATAATCATTGCATAAAACTATACTGAAGTATTTACCTGTCGATCACTCCTTGGTGTGCATGTGAAATTTGCATGCTGCTAACTATTGAATTGTACTGGCAACCACACTGATGTCTTGGCATTTCTTTAGGCCTTTGGATGCTATTAAACAGTTCTTATAAAAAATAAGAAACTTGTTTGTCTTTTGTATCTGTAGTTCGAGGAACTTGTTTTACCCTTCAGATGAGCTTTAGGAATGAGCCTGGCCTTTGGGGTGAAGGAGGGAAGGGGCGTCCGGACTGTCCTCTTCAGCCTGACTTGGCCACCAGGCGCTGTTTGCAATAACTGGCTGGATCCAGCGCTGGGGGGAATAGCTATGAAGTCCCTTTCCAGGACACCCTTGCTTTGTCTGGGTGAGAACAGCGTGGCTGGCTCAGAGGGAGGGGAATGGAGGAGAGCACCTCTCGTCCATGAGTAGACTCTGTGCTATGTGAAGACAACGGTAAAATACGGCTTGCCCACAGCGAGAGGACTAGTAAGCAGTCCAGGTTCTTGAAGGCAGATGTCTACTGCTACGGGGAACACAGGAGCCTGAAGTGTCCTGCCTCTAAATGTCCCTCAAGTGTCACTGGAGAACAAGGTACCTGCTTTGCACTAATGACACCAACCGAGTGGCCTGTGTCTGCAGGTTCGGTCTGTCACTGGCAAGACTAGGAAGGAAATTTTCTGCTTTTGTGACATCAATTTCTCTGTCTTCTTCTGAAGCACCAGAGATTCCTCTGGAGGGAGAAATGAGAAGGGTGCTCTGAAAGAAACACTCTCCCTGCAAAGCTTGAACCTTGCTTGTACCTCACACCAGTGCCCAAACAGTGACAGGGAAAGCCTCGCCAGACCGGTGGGGGTAATTCCCCCTCATGGGATATTTCTCACCCTACTGGATTCACGGCCGTTGCAAGGAACTCTGATTTTGGAAAGGCTCGTGCTTCAAATGCTTTTAGCCAAAAGCCCTGGTGCTTCATGTGGGAGAGGGTCCCCGTGTGAAGACCGTGCCAGTATCCCTGCCACAGGATCTGACTCCACAGTGCTGAGCAGCAACACAACAAAGTCCCCCTGGTCTCCTGCCATGGTGCTTCTGCCACCTGACCATTTAGCAGGCAGCCTGTCACAGGGTGACAGAGAGTTGCTGACCCCTCCTGCCAAAGAACAACTTCAAACTTTCCAGGTCTATTACCCTGATTATTTTACAGTGCAGATGTTCAGGGACTCACTCTCTTGTCTCTCCCTTGACACAACAGTCACTCTCATTTCTCTCCAGCTGTAGAAACCCCATGGCTCTTTAAATACTAGATTCCAGGCAGCTCTTGAAGCTTACATTTCGCTCATGAGGTCTGCCACATCACAGGGAAACAGCTTGATGAAATTGCCTAAACCATTGTTGAATTACAAAGCAAGTCATTGCATTTCACAGATTTCCAACTGATTAACCTCACTCCAGAAACCTTCAGGGATGTGGAAGAAGTTTCCACGCTCGTTTGCCTTTGGCATCGCTTTTTAAAATTAATATCCATCTTAAATTTTTTGTGCTGCACTTCAAACCCACTCGTAGCTGTATGGTCAAGGAGGAAGGACAGTGTGCTGCCACACCTCAGTCTTTTCTCTTCCAGGTTAAACGACCCCAGTGATAAGATTTGCTAAGTGAGGGGATGAGTGTACAGAAAAAGTTAAATGTTTTGACAGAAGTGACTCTTAGCATGTGATCTGCAAAACACTGAATTTGCAGGTTTAGTTCAAAGATACTTTCAGATATTAGGCTTTCAATCTCCCACCACCACAATGGGCCACCCCCTGCATCACCACTTCACGCTTTCTTGTTTATTTCGAGAAAGAAAAACCGCAGTGCAAAGCAAAGGCAGGAAATAACACAGTAGAACAGGACGTAGAAGGGGTCTCATGGCCCAGGTGGGGCAGGAAGATGATGCACCACCAGTTCCATGACGCCACAATCGAGATCTGGGTCACCTTTAGATGCTCCTCTACGCCCCACCGCAGAAACCGCTTCCTTTGGAAAGTGGAGCGCAAAACAGGGGGTGGGGGGAGCAGGACTGGTGTGGCACGTGGCAGGGAGGAGGAGAAGCGTGTGGAAAAGAACAGCAGACGTTAGACCACAAGCCAAAGTCGAATGAGGTTAAGGCACCCTCCCTTCCTGCCCCCTCACCACAGCCTGCTCTTGGGTCTGGGGAGAGTTTTGGAAAGATTGAGCTATGTATAGTGTAGGCACGGGAAAGGAGGGGAGAAAATACATTATAAAATGTGGTGGGTGGTGGAGAGAGATCTTAGAAGTGTGTAAGATTTCTCAATGTGCTGATAGGCCTCTGCACCCTGCTATACAGGCAGTGAATCCATGCAGAAAAATCCTTTCACTTCTCCTGATCCAAAAGAGAAGAGAGGAAGATGGGGCAGGCCAGAGGGTCTTCTCACATTGTCAGGGAAGGAGATGTTGCCATGGTCCACCTCTAGCACCCTCTCCCCTATGCCAGCTCCTGCCCCGTAGTACCTATCTATGGGTAGGAGACAAATTTGCATCTTTTCTAGGGGTTTTGGTGGAGAAAACACCCTGCCCGACATTTGTCACCTCTCATTAAACATGGCCCTGTACATGAAACAGCCTCTCTTGCCCTCTTCTACAGTGTGAACAGGGACCCGAGCATCGTCTTTCTAAGGAGCAGAGCTTGGAGATATCTACAGACTTGTTGAAGCTTATTCAGATGTGGGAGTAGCTGTAATAGGACATGAATTCTAGTGCTGTGTTTATGGCAACTAGAGGCATTGCAAGCTGGTAAAAATCACGAATAAAAAGAAACCCCGCAGAAACCCCACGGTTTTTCTTTTGCCACAGGCTCCCGTGCAGTTCTTAGAAGTGGCCACTGGAGGGTCCCAGTCTGGAGCTCTCTCTAAAGCCAAACCGTGCAGAGACGGAGTCACACGGACCCACAGGGAGGCACTCGCAGCTTGCGAACAGCAGCAGCTGCAGTGGCAAAGGGCTGTCCCTCCTCCTGCGAACATGCTGGCTCGGTCTGCCACCGGCCTGGCTCAGAGAGGGCCCTTCTTACGGGAGAGAAGAGCTCGGTGGCCCATTTGCAATCCCTACGTGCTGTCCAGTCCCCTGCCTGCTGCCCAGCAGCACAGAGCTGGTCCCGTTGTAAACAAACCCAGCCTAATGCCTGGGGCTGGAGGGCGGTGGTGGTGTCAGAGCTGGCATGAATTCCCTGTTTCTACCACAAATCCAGGCAGCATCCTTTGAGACAAGAAAGACCCTGCTCCCTCATACCTCACTCTTCAGAGTCTATGTTAGGCAAGAGACTTAGGAGCCCCAGGTTTCACACTTTTATGGGTTTAATGGCTGCAGCACAGCGGGAAATGCTAAAAGGAAAAAGGTGGTAAACAGAAGCCATAATCCAATGCTGAGAGCTGGAAGCTATCAGACCCCGTGTTTTATCTCCCGAGTGCCAGCAGAGAAGCGTTTCTTTGTCACGTAGCCTCAACGCATATTTTACCTATCCTGTGTTTCAGCTGCAGAACAAACCAGACAAGCATGAAGCAGGATCAGTACAAGGATGGAGCCTCATGCATGAAGGTAACCCCGGTAAATTCTGTAGCCAAAGGTGTGGGTTAATATCTTGTGCTGCGCCCATAATCTGATCACCACAGGGCTCTAATTTTCCATCAGGACAAAGAAGCATTTGACCTCAATGCATGAGCTAGCTTGGGCTTGAGGAGGCAATGGCCAAGGGCCAAAGCCATTGAGTTTAAGCATTTTAAAATGCTTTAGAGAAGGGAAGGGTTTTCAATGAGGTTAAGTCTGAGGTGTGAGCTTCTCCACGGACCCAGAACAGCTCAAGTGCAGCTCTGATGCACTGGCACAGCTTGGCAGCCCCCTCCTACATCCTCGGGTTTATCAGCACCTCAGACTGAAGGAAAGCTAACACTGTGGTAGGGTGGCTGTATCACTACCAGGCCTTAGTGAGCCTGTAAGTCCAGCTGGGACATCCAGCTGTGCCCCACATGCCTTTGAGCCTGTGGGAAGATGGGTACACCTGGGGATGTGCTGGAGGACACCCTCCGCCTCCTTCCATTCATGGCCGATAACCACAGCCTAAGGCAAATTTTCCACAGCTTTGAAGCCTGGGGGCAGGAAACAGGGAGATGAAAAGGGTGGATGACAATTGAGTTTCCATGATGACTTGTTTCCTGCTTCCTTCCGAAACTGGCACAGAAAAAAGCCACCTGGGTAGAAAGGGAGGGAGGGGGGTAAAACCAGGGAGTCGTGCCTGAGAGGGAACTTGAGTGTCAGAAGAACCTCTGTATTTGTCACCAATAGGGAAAAGACTGCAGTATTATAAAGGGTTTTATTGACGGAAAGGATTACAGTAACTGTAATGAGGCAGCAGACCCCTCCATAGGACAGTCTGTGGGGAAAAATCTTGAGCTCTCCATCCCCTTCCTCCACCAAGGAAGTAGGTCTGCTGGGGAACAGCACTTCCCAATGCCAGGCTTTGGCATCAGGGCTCAAGAGCAATTCAAGACCTGGAAAGAGAGCAAGACAACATGAGTGATGTTTCTGCAAAGGGAGAGGAAATACCCCACAAGCTCCAATGATCTTGTGGCCCCTTGCAACAGTAACAACAGGGCACGTCCTCCACTTCCCAGCACCAAACTCTCCCTGTCCCAAACTCCCTCCTCTCATCTGCTGAGAAACTCGAGGCTTGGACACCAGCCATGCCATGGCCTCCAAATAGAGCCCAGGACTTGAGCTCCTAAAGCGCCTCTAGCAAAATGGCGTATTTCTCTTATAAGAGAGATATGTGTAGGTTTCTGTAACACTCCTAGTCAAACTGCCTTTTAAATTACAAAAGCTAAAAAATACATGCACAAAACCAGAAAGCCATAAATCCTAACCCTGTATCAACCTAGAGGACAACAGCTTAACTGTACTTGGCCAAGAGGAAGCTGGGAGCTCGGACTCCTGGATTCACTATCTGTCTAATTCTCTCCCAACTCTACAGAAGTACTAAAGTCGTGTGAGCTGTTGTTGCCCCTTTTGTGACCCCATGAATCAGTACCTCACAGTCTTTACTAGAGCTCAGCCCACAAAATTGATGACGACAAGATGGAGGATGGTGTTGGCAAAGAGGAAATCGGCAAATGCCCGCTCTGGTGAAATGCCTTGGAACTCGCCTTTGTTCTGGGGGTTAATCTGGATCCGGAGGCAAACTGCATGGAAGAGAAAGAATGAGAGATTAGGGATCACAAAAGGAAGTCATGGTGGGAAGCACAGTCTTCCTGAGGCAGCTCGCCCCAGTCTGGGTCACTGTTCCACCAAAGTACCACAAGAAAAGTTAACTCCATCTTTATTATAAGATGAGATTATATATCAGAGGATTTGCACGGGGCTTTTATGCAATCAGCTCTCCCATAGCCCTACACTATCAAGCGAATCCTGAGGTTTGTAAGAGGATGGGACTTGCATAGAAATGAGGATATTTCTATGTTCTCCATTGGGTGTGTTGGGGAGGGCTGCACAGATGATCTTAAAGGTCTTTTCCAATCTAAATGATTCTATGATTCTAAGGTGGTTTTGAGGGGTATTGTAGGAGAGCAACACCCTGAAGCAGTCATTGCTAGAGTTTGGGTTTCACTGTGGGACGGTTGCTAAAGAAAGACACCACTACGAGACGGTAAAAGGGAGGGCTCCTTGACTGCCAGGCAGAAGCAACACCCTGGGGCTAATAAGGAGCCAGGCTCTGTGGTGCATACGGGCAGGACCCCCGCAGGTTCACAGTCGCTGTGGGGCAGGCTGGGCCGGCTGGGGCAGGAGCCTGCGGGTTTCTGGGAGCAGAACCGGGTGTTATGGGGGCGGGGGGGTGATGGAGGTTGCCATGGGGACTCCCTAGCTGCCGGGGTAGGTTTGAGGGCTGCTGTGGGTGACTCCCCTGGCTGTTGGGGAATGCCTGTGGCTGCTCAGGGAATTCTCTGGTTACTACAAGAGATCTGGGTATTTCTAAGGTAGCTCGGACGGCCGGGGGCCTCTGGGCCTTGCTGGGGGCTCCGCGGTCGCTGGGGGAGGCTCAGGCTTTGCTACGGAGAGCGCGCGGTTGCGACGGCGATTCCAGGGACAACCGCGCGGGGCCGGGGCGGGGGTGGCGGGGCA